GATCATCTGAGAGTCTTCAAATGCTTCACTTCCAGAAACATTCGTGCATCCATCATATAAACAACTAGAAGGTGAGTTGGATCTATTTCGAAGCAAGATCAAAGGAATGATACACTCTCATTTCAGTGAATAAATAAGTCACTTTTCTACTGGAAAAAGTAGAGCAACGAGACATGTTTCACTTCTTTCAACAAATTACAAGAAATGGATACAATATCACTTCTTCCCCAAACTAATGACAGCTAATATATGTGTCACGTCTCTAAGAAACTGAGAAGTGATACATATATCACTTTCTTTCCTAAAAACTAAGAAGTAACACATGCATTAGTTTTTTGGAGAGTTGTATGAGTCAACAGTTAAAATTTACTGAAGAACTAACTGCCTTAGAGCTGGACTACAGGCTGCCTCTCCATTTGGATAATTAGACTGTATATCAAGATATGAAGAGCGTGAATAAAAAGTAAAATTTGAACTAGGCTAGTTCGCAATCTAATCGTGTCTTCTCGTTTAGAATAGTTCACTGCTTTCCTCGAAGAATAAATTCTATTGGAGGCTTATGAGACATAATAGTATCTGGACAGAATGGATTACGCAACTAACTAAAAAATGTCTGAGGCTGCGCCGTGTTTTAAATCAATTGTAGGATGTTCCTAAGAGTTCGCACAACTAAAGAGCTTTGCTGCAAAACGTAGTTCTAAAGTGAGCTGGCGAATATTCCTAGGGACAGTTGTTTACACTCAGTAAGCCTGCTAGTGTATTACCCAAAATGAAATGTTATTCGAACGAAGTCTAACCTGAAACCTGGAGATATATCTCTGAAATTAATGTGCCCTGCGGAGTTATATCTCCGCAGGGCCCAGCACAAAATCTACAATAATTTAAGCCAATGAATGTTATCTAAGAGAATCTACAACCATTTAAGTCAATGAATGTTATCTAAAAGAATCTACAACCATTTAAGTCAATAAATGTTATCTACAAGAATCTACAATTATTTAAGTCAATGAATGTCTCATCCGGTGGACTAGCTGCCCCAGTTGAGAGCGTTCTGCCAGAAAAGTCAGCGCTCCAGTACAGACCCGGTCTGTACATAAAAGCCGTCTTTACCCATGACGAGGATGAGGCGATCTACCAGATATTACAACACAGGCCATTGGCTCCGTACGTCCTGGAGGTACGTCGATGTACCTCCAGGCCATCGGTTCCGTACGTCCTGCGGGTACTTCGATGGGTACATCGAAGTACCCGCAGGACTGATTTGAATATTCTCCACACTAGTCTTTACCTCAGAGCAGACATTATCCCGGTCCTAGAAGATAACGAACTTGTCGTTCCAAATTAGCTATTAAGCACATTCGCTTCTTCTGGATTCTGCATGTCAAATGTCTGCGGCAATCGAGTAGAGCATTCAGTACGGCAGGGTAAAAATGTTGTACGAACACCTCGGGAGATGATTTTTTATGCTTTCATACTGACGCAAGCCTACTCTCTGAGCTTGAGCTATAAGAGCAATGCTCGATGTAATCCATCGGGAATCTAGTCTCGTTAATAGTTGAAAAAGTTATTACCAGAGAGACTCTGACCATATCGTTTGGCACTGGACTTAAATATATTAACGTGTCAAAACAGCATCGAATGTGATTTAAATTCGTTTGCGATGCAGCAAATTCGTTTATCAATGACATTGAACAAGCATACGAATCCGGTGCAAGCTTTAGTGTCCGAATAACATATGATGTCCACGGCGCCAACCGTGCTGGACAAACTGAGGAAGACCTACGCTCTGTGAGGTACATCTTTCTAGAAGACAGTAACTGTCCATTTGCGTGGAATGTTTTTGCAAGATCTACCGCGGAAGTCCAGATTCTAAATCCACCATAGAAGACATGTCACTCGCAGTTCCCACGAGAGCAATGAGGTTTGGAATCAGGAATATTACTGCGTTTCGCAACCTTCTAACTGGTGATCAAATATTACATTACCATAATTTATCAATATATGTAACTATCAAAGAATGAATCTTTAACTTGTGATCCAAGGTTTTAAATGATTGAGAAACTCGAAAGCAGGGACTCGTGGAATATTAAAGCCGAGTGAAATGGAGAGAGCTAGTATCTCTGATGATAAGCGCCACAGTTCGAGGAGCTCGAAACCCGATGCCTTACCTCGAAGACAGCTCGCACAGATCTGGCTCATAGAATACGACGTGAGTTTAATATGACGTGGTATGACGTGCAGAATTAACAGATCCGGAAGTCCACGTGCAGCGGTGGAAGCTGGGCGGAAAGGAATGTATGCTGCAGCTCGATCGCCGCAGACAGATGAGATGCAGAGAGTGGAGGTAGCAAATGTTAAAAAAGCTGTTTTTGACACGTGATCTGAGAACCTGAAACCCTTCACAACACTTTGATATTCAATATAAACGTATCTTCTGGAAATAAGATCCAGCTTAGATCTACTTCAAAAATACGCATTATATCCAAAGGCTACAAAATCACGTTAATATTTTAGCCTTCTATACCTTGACACACGCAATCACATCAAGAACATGCAAAACTATCAACAAAGAGTACCTCTAGATGGTCTATTTCTGCTCCTAGATGTAAAGTCAATTCAAGTCAAGTATGATAGAAAAGGACTCGCAAGGTTTAACATGGATACCTGCAAGACTATGATCATTACTTTAGCTCCTCATCTTAAACTCTCATCGACTCCTTGTTTGACATATGACATGGAAAAAAATGTGATGTTCAAGATAGCTTACAAAAAGTCGGTTGATAGTTTCATGTTTTTTAAGATTTGCACTAAGTGTGACATTGCTATTGCTAAAAACATAATAAGAAGATGCATATCAAATACAATAAAGATATTGAGAAAATGTGGGATGAATTTTTTGATATCCCAACATTATGTTAGATTTTGATCTTCTGTTTGATGCAAAATCATAAAATGCAAAATCAGTCATACACTGACTATGCACAAGCTTATTAAATTTCTACGATTGAGTGTTCACGTTTGGAGGTGGAAGTATACGTTAGAACTCTACATTGGAGAAGTGAGTAGCTGAATTCACTAAGAAAACTTAGTATGTAGTGGAAGCAACAAAGTACACAATCTCATTAAATAAGCTTGAGAATGTGACAAATTTACTAAATTTCTACGATTGCATATGTGTTCACATTGGGAGGTGGAAGTATACGTTACAACTCTACAGTAGAGAAGTGAATAACTAAATTCACTACGAAAAACCTAGAATGTAGTGGAAGCAATAAAGTAGACGATCTGATTAAATAAGCTTGTGATTGAAATGAAAATGTGACGGTCATAATGCTTCTAACGAACTTGTGAAGGAGAAAATGAACACTAGATTTACACATATTGACATCAAGTATTGATTTTCCTACAGGCTGTGTCTTATGAAATGATCTTCTATATATTGATACTGCTGTTGACTTTACTCAAGTGGTCTCCTTGAGAGATTATTTTAATACATTGTGATTTTGAGTTTGCATATAAGTAAAGTTGATTAGCAATTATATTATCTCTTAAATATTATAATTATATGTACAAAATTTATATTTTATAATTATTTTTATAGAGATATTCATGTTTAGCTTTTTATTACAATTGTGATCAATTATATAGATAAAATTATTCAAAATCTAGATTATGTGAAAAATAATTAATAGAATGTGAAGTACTGATTAATTATGGTTCATTTGATCTTTATAATAGATGATAAATTATAATTTTCTAATATATATTCTAAATATAAAATTTCCAATTTATCATTATAATAGATGATAAATTATAGTATTAATGAATTTTTTTTGTAAAAAAAGATTATTTTTCTATATATATATATAAAAGAATATGAATTATTCATATCTATTTTTTAATTATATGGTTGGGATATGGTTAAATTCTAAAAATCACTTGATACAAATATTAATAATTTGTGTTAGAATTTGAATATAATATTTTTAAATTTTACATTCGTTATTACATAATAAAGATAATACGAATATAAAATTAGACTGTTAATTATACATATATTATATTTTATAATTAAATTAAATTGATTTTTAAAAAATATTATTTGTGACATGTCACAAAGATAATGATGGTATTGCAATTTTCAATTAATTATCAATAATGTATAAAAAAATAGTCATTCATGTCTTTGATTTAGTCAATATAAAACAAAGACAACACGTCTTGTGGCCACGGACTACTCACTATAAAGGAATCTGATTAAATTATTAGATGCAACGGATCGAGCGATTGCCGATGGAGAGAAATTAAAATTGTTTAAAGCGAACAGCTCAAGTTCTGAGAATATATCTACTCATAACGTTAGCAGACACTGAAACTGAGCTCTCGATATGGAGTGAACGTGCGCCTGAACTTGTGCATAAAAGTAAAGATGCCTGACCCGTATTGATGATTGTGATCGTGTTCATTAAGCTCCTCCGTTAGAATACAACCTGAGAGTCATAGACCTTAATGGCGTTTCCCGACAAGTCAGGACTTATAATTACTAAAAAATTCTCTGCAAGTTATAGTAACTGCCCCCTTCTACCTAGTGAGGGGTGAGCGCTCGCCGCGCCTGGAAAGCCTTCGTCCAGATGACTGAACGGTTCGGATCAGGAAAGTCGGACGTTTTTACTCAGCTGTCACAATTGGCTCAGTATGTCGTGACTGGTAATGAATTGAAGTTCTAGATTTCTAGGATTTTACCATAATAGAGATTGCATCTTGCTGTTTGCTACTTACTCAGCCTCGGGTGCCCCGCATAAACAGGGAGATGCCACAAGCTGTAGTTTTATCCTGTGATACCACCGATTTTGGCGTTAAGCTGCATGAAGTGGGTCATAGTACTCTTTCCGAGCCACTTGCATACACCTCAGTCCAGTCATCATCCTGGTCCGAAAAGACGAAGACCTAAGTCGTTCCACATCACCTACATAAAGGCATTCACTTCTTCCGAATTCTGCATCTCATCTGAGGTCGGTGAGCTAGCAGGAGCATAAATTTCATCACGTCAAGCTTACATTGTTGTACGTCCACCTTCGGAGGTATCGTTTCTACAATCATATTCATTTTATGTTACCAAAGTGTATTCTATGTGTAAACTAGACTAGCTATCTACACGTAACACATCGCTATTCTAGTTTCGTTTATTAATCACGTTACGAAGAGAGACTAGCTCTCACCAGATCTTTTAGCCTGGATTTTGAACCGCTGTCGATGAATTTTTTTTCTCATCTATTTCCAGTGTCAATTTTTTCTTTCGACTTCAGAACTAACAAATTTTATCATTCTTCGAAGGTTATAGTATGTTGCATTAAATAGAAATAATACATAATTGATACTCATGTTCGGACTTCAAGTTTGAGAATCTGAGCATCTGTGAATGTATGTTTTACAGAAAACTTTGACAAAAATGGCGAAGAACGGTGCTTTCAACAAAATGTACCTGATAGTGGCACTGGTCCTCCTCGGGTTGTCGAGCATGGCTGCCGCCGTGGACGTCGCGTTCTTTTCGAACACAGTCGCATGTTCCGGGCTTGGGACAATTAGAACTGGCGCTTCCAGTCGTGTTTGCTACTACGGAAACGCAGGTTCAATTAGATTTACAGGTATGAATGTCTGCAGGAGCAGCATTTACTATAAAGGTGGCGTATGCAGCACAACTCCAGGAGGAGGCCTTTCGGGAAACCGCTGCTACATTGGTGGAGGATTCACATCCGCCTACTGGTATCCTAGCTGCAGACGCCGCTCGCTCCTCGATGAAGCTACTTCGAACGTAACTAAGTGCGACTTCAAAACCACAGGTCTCGTCTTCACCGAGGACTCAGCCAGAGGCACCTGGATCCTCAAATCCTCAAATGCAACTCAATTAATGTCTCAGATCGAGAATTTGACGGATGAAGAGAAATTGAGTTGGTTCAAAGCCCACGGCGCAAGTTTTGAAGATACTCCAGATACCCAGAACGAGCCTTTGAACTGAAACTGAGGTCTCGAGCGGGCGTGGAACTGAATTTGGGCGGAGCTGTTTGCACCAGAAAATGTCTGTCCCAAGTAGTATTCCTGGCTGCCATACACCTGTTGAACCTATCTTTACGTGGCTTTACAATTGCCGAGCTATTTCGTGTCTGAGAATGAACTAAGACACTAGTTTCGTTTGAGTTTACCAAATAGAGGTCGCATCTTGCTATTCGCAACCGACTCCGCCTTCAGTGCCTCGAGGAAATAGGCAGATGAAGGAAATGCTTTGCTGCTTGCAGAGCCCTTGTAATAATGAGCAGTATCAATAAATAAATGAATTTGTGTTAAACCCTGGATAAAATAAATGCTAAACTTTCAATTTCGATCTTTTGAAGGCAACTTCTGCCGCTTTTCTATGGCTGATTGATGTTATTGACTACATCCTCAAAAGCGAAGTCCACACGCATCCATATCGTAACGTCTTTCCTCACAATGATTACTTCAGAAGTGACTGGAGTGCATCTGCACAGCGCTAACCGCTACATTTGAGATCTGATATGTACAGGAACAAGAATAGCCAAGGAAGCACAGCCTATGTTCAGCTGTCAGAGGAAGAGATAATAAATCACTCTCTGTTCTGATTATGTACAGACAATTCTTTGTTTGTAATTCAGCATTCAGAAATATTAGTCCAGACTTAAGGAATCACTAGATGCTACTTTCAATCTCATTTCCCCCGTTTTCGTCTTTTCTTAGCCGCAGGTTAGCTGGGACTCAAGGACACAGTCCTGACAGACTGTTCATAGTGATGCTTCTTGAGTCTACCTAGTGCTTCGTGATTTTATAGAAACTCCTATTCTGATTGCAAGATCAAAACAGTTCCGTCACACCGCTATCGAATTTGTAATCAGTTGTTGAATAACATTGGCTCATTGGCCCAAACCAGGAGGCCAACGACAGCAGGGTACAAACAGATAGGCTAAATGGTTGCTAACTATTAAAATTATTCAAGAGAAGGTCTTTCCATTGAAAACAATTCCTGCTGCGCCATGTACATAAGTACTCAATTGCATACGCAGGTAGCAACTTCACAACGTAAGATTTGAACAGATTTTGACAATTTTTCTGTAGAAAGAATATTTAAATAATAACCTTATTACCGCAGAGCGACGTACCTCAGTAGAATCCTGATTTGGACCCTCTACATCTGAATTCAATGACTTGCTCTCCTTAGGTGATATCCGGGTGTAATTTAATTCATCAGCTGGATTCCTGAGATGCTCTAATAAAGATATCCATCAGTCTCTGCATTTTAACCTCCTGCCATCTAGTCTTCAAGTTCATAGGCTGGCCTGAGGCCATCACTGATCCAAGGAGTTGTCGCTGGACTCTAACCTTCCACAGAACTGAGATTTGACGCTATCATGGTAGTCAAGTGTACCTCCAGTATTCCGCATTCAGTTCCCTATTCAATTACAGTACTTTCAGTCAATTTTTCATTATGTTGTTGAAATTGTGCTTGTTACTTTAGAATCTACTTGATATTTCCTGGCTTATTTCCGAACAGCATAATTTGAGATGAACCTCCTTGAGATATTTTGTGTCTTCGGTTGGACACAGATTTCTGTGTGACCTATCACAAAGATGATGATGGTACCACAATTTTCATACTTTTATTAATAACCTATAAGAAACAGTCATTTCTGTCTTTGATTTAGTCAAATTAGGGACTCAGCCCAAAGGCATCTGGTTCAAATTCTTAAATGCAGCTGATCGAGGGATTCCCGATGGAGAGATATTAAATTGGTTCATAGCAAACAGCTCAAGTTTGAAGAAAATAATTACCCTTAACGTAAGCATACACTGAAACTGAGCTCTCGATCTCGTGTGAACGTGCGCCTGAACTTGTGCATAAAAGATAGATGTCTGACCCGTATTTGCAGAGTCCTTCTGACGGTCGATGGTCCTATCGCTGTTGAAACCAGTCGCTCATCTTTTGTTCTTCAAGGAGAGTCAGGGTACCGATTGAGTCACCAAAATCCGGACATCTCATGAATATACTCTTTGAGTAGGTATTAATTTTTATACCTTAATTATTAACCTTAATACTAATCATACTAACCTTAATAGTGAATGAACAGAGAGATTTAGTCATAAAGAAGTCAGGTCTTCTGGCCAATTATATATGAGGTTTAGAATTCTTAGGCTCGAGAAAAAGTCCAGTGGAAGTAGGTACCATAGTCAAGTGCGAGAGAAATATTTAGTGACATTCAGTGAGAGAACTTTGAAGAGTGATGTAATGCACATTAGAACATGACTGAGGAGTGCATGAGTATTCAAAACATCTAGTCGAATCAAACTTTGAACAGATCTCACATTGCGAAAAGATGTTGCGAAAATGAAAAACATAAAAAAAAAACGGTGCTCTGATGATGGAGTTGAGCTATTTACTATCCCATAGCAAATAATAAATGTTTGAGAGATCCGCTTCGTGAATGTTAGTTGATGACTTTATAATAGTTATTTTCTCTAAACTGCTTCTGTTGATAACAGAGATAATTGTAAGCTTTCATAATTTAATTTTCTACTACTTGGTCACCAAATTCTCATCTTTCACCTCTACAACGATTTTTCACCATCACACAACATGAAATGTGATATCAATTTTCCACATGCATCTCCACCTAACCTGGTTGCAAACGAAAAGGAGTGAAGAATCAAGTGAGAAATTGAGTGAGAATAGCGATTATGAATCTTCTATAGGTGATTGAACTCAGTAATGTAGGAGAAAGGAATTCTTGGAAACAGAATTGAAGAATGATGACATACTAACAAGAAGACATCCGCAACAAATGGAAGTACTCCAATGTCATCACCATCCAATCATGATGAAGTTTCTTTTGGAAAAATGTATGCTTTTATATGCATATACATCAACCAGTCAGGTCATAGACTTTAGGAGAAATGAGTAACTTTACTAGAACCTAAGTAAAGGAATACCTTTCCGTGAAGAATGTGTGTTAACGATACTTAAATTCCAAAAATATATTTGAAGCGGTGGTCAAGAATGCAGCAAGTGCAAATGTGAAATAATATCATCGAAAGTAAAGCTAAATGTCAAAGTTTGTAGTATTTTGAACGCTTTGCCATACTCTCTAGTTTCACCACCAAATTTATAGTGTGGACGATACTAACTGGAATATTTATCTGACAGTTTTTTAGTCAAGTAGTCGATGTATGTCAAATTTACCCTCCAAATACTAATACTTTTACCTATCTAAACAGCAATGTTGCGAGTGTATACTATTTCTGACCTATCTTATCGGCTTAGGTCAATTTAAAGTATCCAGTTGTTACAGAAAAATTTAACATTCTTTGATACATTGAGAAATGTTATAAAATTGGTCTTCAGCTGTCAGTGATGATGATCTACAAAAGGCAAGTGTGTAATAACCCACCAAAGGCTAAAACTGCAGTATGGTGGTAAAAAGATCGAACCCACAGGGACAGGACAACACACAGAGTAAAGGTGTCACGTTTAACAGACTTTGTAGAGTTTGAATTCTCAGGCGACTGTCACTCCCAGAAATACTGCAGTGCTCGACTCGGAGGCTCGACTCGGAGGAGGATGCTCCACTCGGAGGATGCACAGTACAGCGTAGTCACTCAACACACACACACACACACACACACACACACCTGAAACTGGCAAAAGCACAACTCGGAGGTCGGTCAGGACCTCCGCTTCGGATTTCAGGGGGAAAGTGTCTCAAAAGTTCACTCAGAGGTTCTGCAGGTAGTGACTTCCACTCCGGCTTTTACTGCCCTTCCGCCAAGAACTAGCGTAAGGAACCCGGACTGGACTTCCCACTTCGGAACGAAGCCCCTTCATACGCCGTGGACGTCATCCTCGACTCACACCAAACGCAGGGGGTACAGGCCTGACTGAGAACTTAACTGAGACACAATCCAGTAACACACACACACAACCTGAATTGCAAACCAAGGCTTACACGAAGTAATAAAACTTCACTTTGGCATTCAGGGGAAACTTCCCGTAGGAGTACAATCAAGATATGTCACTCGAAGGAGTAAGGGGGAACTGTTCAAGTCTCTAACTCGCAGCCGGCTCTAAGCATCAGAAATCACCCGCAGGTGCAGATCCGCACTACTCAAGTCTCTAACCGGGTACTAGCTCTGAACATTCAGCCGAAGGCCTTCAACTACAACATACGGTAACTTCGCTATGCTGCAGCTTCTCTACGTGGTGCCAGGACCAAAATGCACAAACACGCCAAGAAAGTGAGTTCCTGATCTGCACTTCCGAAACTGGAAGAGTCCCAGGGCAAAACGCCTTGAACTACTTTATAGTCTCTAAGGTCCTAACTAACACTACGCTACCCGCTAGGGTGCGAGCCGCAACAGATCCTACACCTGAGGAGTCGGCGGCTACCTTCCCCTCTAACTTACAACCTAAATCTAACCCTAACCCTAAATCTGAATCCTAAGCCTACTGTACAGAGCCGCCAGCGTCTTTACATCCGAGATCTGAGGCTGAATATTTGCAGGCATGCGTGGCCGACTGAGATCAACGGCCCCACCAAATTTCAGATCCATCCGACCGTCCATCGCAAAGATATGGACTCCGCAAGATCTCTGAACCGCATCCGGTTTGCCGACCTCGAGTTCGCCGACTCCGAGTTTGCCGACTTGAAGTTCGCCGACCTCAAGTTTGCCGACTCCGAGTTCTCCGAAGGCGTTGACCGCCAAAGACGCACTTCCGCACCTTTGCCTATTTGTAACAGTCACTCCCGACACCCATAACTCACAGATCCTTGATCCGTTTCAAGAGTTCTTGCACTCGTTGGAACGAGCGCGTCGAGCTCTTTCTAACGAGACCCTAACTGAGTCAAACCGTTACGAGTTGAAAGAGTTATGCCGGTTTTATCCTTCGTCGAAGGCACACTGTCGAAGGCTTGTTATGTGTTATCGCCGAAGGCGCCCGCACGATGTTTCGCCAACTCCGAGTTCTCTGACCTCAAGTTTTCCGACTCCGAGTTTGCTGACTTGAAGTTCTTTGACCTCGAGTTTGCCGAGCTCAAGTTTGCCGACTCCGAGTTTGCTGACTTGAAGTTCTTTGACCTCGAGTTCGCCGACCTCAAGTTTGCCGACTCCGAGTTTGCCGAATTGAAGATCTTTGACCTCGAGTTCGCCGACCTCAAGTTTGCCAACTCCGAGTTCTCCGACCTCGAGTTCGCCGACCCCGAGTTTGCCGACTTGAAGTTGACCCGAAGACGTCCGTCGCGGAAGGCGAACATCCAGGGCCGAAGGTGGATATTCTGCCGACGACGAACTCCTTCCGCCTATCCGTAGGCGTTCTCCTTCGCATCTTCCGACAGTCACAACTCCCTGAGTCCTCATCCGTTCCACGCGTTCTTGGGCTCGTTAGAACAACCGCGTCGAGTTCTTTCCAACGAGACCCTAAGTAACTCAAGGCGTTAAGAATTGAGGAAGTTATGAGTGATCTACCGCCGAAGGTGCTCAAAGCGAGTCCTGCAGCGTGAACCGCCCGTTCCATTCCAAGCGTTCCACTGTGGCCTAAGCCCAAAACCCCTTGATTGTACTCGATACTCTTTTTACTCTGGCTTTGCGTACCGATTACTATTTACAGCTGCTACCACGGTACTTACTAATCAAAAATGTTTTAGTTCCGGCGAAAAACAAAAAGTGGGTTACCACAAAGTGTATGATGTACACTGCTAAGCAATTATTTTCGGGTCTTCAATTACAATTTATTCAGTATGTTTTGCTTGATTGTAGATGAAAAAAGATTTAACTCCTTTATATTGGCGACTTCATAATTACATACTTAGTTTCTCAATATCATAGGACTGAGGTTGAACTAAATGAAGTTACACATTTCTACTACAATTTACAAAGATGGGGTTTGAATTTCCAGCCTACTTTAGATTTCGTGTACTTTATGATAATCGTAGTTTGTATCAATGATGATAACTATGACGCTAAATCATCTGAGGGGATATTTACAATAAGCCATGTAAGCATGGCTTATTACACCATGTAAGCAAAACACGTCACTCATGTTATTTCCGGGTATGACGGGAGTTATATATCATGCTCACACAATCCCAAGTTGGTTTTCCGTAACACTTCTATAGAACCACAGATGAGTTATGCATTTTAGGTTCATGCGCTCTTACGTGCTTCGACAACAGCAGCTGCTTCGGATACTTCACAGACGATCTTGTCACTAGTGTTCATACAGAGGCAAGTGATAATTTGACTCTTTACACCACGATATGTGCTGCAACGACAGAAACTTTTATTTTACAAGGTAAAGTCCACGTACGATGGTAATTACATTTCTACGGTTCACAATTTCTTTCTACATTCTAAAAAGGCTTCCAAGGAGGAATCAGATGCCAGGCCCATAGGAAAGCTAACGTAAGGGTTTCCAAGTGCTGCCACGTTCCCGGGCCGTGAAAGGACCAGCTGCGCAGTCAGCATTACAGAATCCATGTCAGCACGCTTAAGCAATATGAGAGACCGTACAAGGGGTGACTAAAGATTAACAAATACTCGAAATCTCTGAAAATCTGAATTCTCTCGAATCTGAAGCTTAATGTTGATAATGGATGAGCTGCCGTTGTTCCAGAGCAGATGGAAAAAGAGGAGGAAAATTTGCAGGGAGATTTTGCAGGGAAATACATTGCATTTACGAATACGTCTCATCGGAGGGCAAAGAGTCGGGTTACCTGTAAGTTGCCTAAGGTACAGGTTTGGAATCCAGCCGCGCAGTAGATGAAGTAATAATCCCACATTCGAATAAATTTATCATTGAAACCGAGCTTTCTACATTCACTGTGCAAACCGAGACAACAACCAAATTCAGACGGTGTGATCCGTGTTTGAGGTTAATTTGGTTGCTAATATATACTAGAGATCCTTGAAATAAATTCGTCTTTTACCTGGCCTTCGCGAGGAAGTTCTCTCGCCAACACATCAGTGTCTGGAAGTAATGGAGGCCAATGTTCTCTAAATGCTCCAGACTGTCGAAGGAGAACAAGTGCTTCAGTAAAGATGTGATATCGTTTTAGCACAAAGTGAGAGAAAATATATATATATATATATATATATATATGAGCAGAAATGGGCACAAAGCACTACCTCAGTGTCGATCCAGCAGCCATGGCAGAGGTAAGAGCACTGATACAAGGTAGACTACCACCAGGGAATATGTACTCTTTAATGAAATCGGAGCTCTTGAGATATTCGTCGTATCTCTCGTCGGGGATGATTGCAAACTGCAAGTAGTTGAGAGTGAGGAGCCACCTCAAAAAAAAGATACTCTAAAATTCCATCCCATCCATCCATGACAAGATCTTTACAAATTTCCTCCGTTGGTCGCAAGTAAATAAATGGAAATGACAATGACTTTCGGACAGGTACACACGATTCGCCTTCAGAAATGCGCTGAGTTTAGCATTCTTACTTGTAGAACCATAAGTCCATCTTTGGCTAGCAGGTAGTCACATCTCGAGAAAAATTCCTTGTAATACTCATGTCCTACCGCCTCCAGCATTTCACTGCAATTTATGCAGAGGCACACGATAGTCGCAGTCAAGATCGATAGCTACTTTTACAATGAAGTTTGAGGCCATATGAAGTTGAAGGGAAGGGAAGCCATACATGTATATATGCCACAAACTCGGTCGTCTTGATTTTCTAGCCAGCTACACAAGAATTACAACATGTTGTACATCAAGATATTGGTCCCAGTTGTACTTCATTTGTAGTAGCGTACTCACCAGGAGATAATCCGATTAAACTTGTGATGGCCTTCTAAAGATCGATAATCACAGAGTTTGAAAATAATTTTATCCTGCATTCATATCAAGAGGAAAATATAACGAATTAGTGACCGTCCGAACCGTTGTTACATTTGCAGTCTAAAAGCTTGAATTGTGGAACATGCTCGGAGTTACTACCTCAAGACCCTCCTGCTTAACACGATCTTTCGCGAAGGCCAACTGCTCTTTTGATAGCGTGATTCCTGTGTAGTTGCATCCAGTACGCCGGACCAGTTCGATAGCCATACTTCCCCACCCAAATCCTATTTCTAATACCTCATGATGAGGTTCTATTTTTGCCTGCGGGATCACAGTAGAAGTATCAATGATCACAGCCAGCGGAATTTCAAACTTACTGACTCCTTCATCGACCATCATACATTTCCTCCTCGCCATGGGGGAAGTCAAGACGAGTTTTAGACGAACTCGGATTCTCCGCATCTTAAACATAATCACTCTGAATCACTAATCTGTACTTGAGAGTATTTCCCTGTCAATCCTTCAAGACCATAGACCCGTCGCCCTCGCTGGGCTCTACTAGTAGCTGAAGAACTTCTCTAGCTCTTCTGAACTACAGAGGCCAGATAGATCTATAGATCAAACTCAATAAAAAAAAGAATGACTATGATCTTTGTACAGTATCCTGCTTTGGAACATAATTTTCATTCTGCTTCTCGGCACTTTTCGTCAAGTTCTGTTTTGGAACTTACTTTTTGGATCATCAAATGTAGCTTGCGAAGCTGCGCATCCTTTAGCGTGTCATTGGGTCCCTGTGATGTTTCAGTATGAATAACATAAAGACGCAGATAAGATAGTCATCCAATTGGACCAAATTGTATGTATCGGCACATGTCATTCAGTGGAAAATTAAGAATCAAGGGCCAATCCCGTCGAATTGATCGATCCTGAGGTCCAGAACTCTTTAAAGTGGTAATAAAAATATGACATTATGATTTTTACGTAAGAGAACTGCGCTATCGTCACATCATCCTTCACCATCACCTTGAAGATGGCTGTGGAGTACGTCATGGTGTCATCGAGGAAAAGAGCAAAAAGCTCATTACTCTGCATCACATATTTCATGCATTAGAAGCGTTGGATAATTATCCAGGAGTTCCCACTCGCATGCGGACAGCAATCTGAAAAGATTAAGCAGATATAGTCAACTCTCCTCAATGGCCCTGATATTATTCGGGCATGTAAAGAAGGAAGACAATCAACCTAATCAGGATCAAATTGCATGGGAAGCAATGGTCTACCAGATCATAATGTCTGGATATGTTTCTACGAGCATTAGTGAGCGAATTTCCACGCAATTTGTGTCTAAGAAACGAAACAGCTCCTCCGACAGATGCGGTCACAAAAACTGGATTCCACCATCCCCTGCGCACATGAATTTTGCGACTCAGATCCCCATAAAGCTCACTTGGTATACCATTTTCATCTCAAAATAACAATTTCGACTGCTTACGAGGAGAGTGTACCTTGTTTGCTTCACGAATTCAGATCGGTTTATATCTCGATTGGCGATAATCAGCTGTGCGAAAAACATTAGAAAACAATTAGCGCAGATACCGAAGGATGCGAAGATGCTAGCGAGAGGAGCTCATTGGTGAAACAAAAGAAACTATAATCCGTATGTATGTGGATTTGATGCCCAACCTGTAAGAAGTGGAGAAGCCCATTTTTGTCTCCTACAATTGAGAAGTCGCCATCTACGTATGCATCTGCAAGACCAATATCTGCTCTAGTAGCAATCTGCAGCACGGACATGTCGACGCGAGGGATGATCAGTTTGTCATCATGATGGAGCGTAATGGATTATGACTGTAATCAGTTTTCACATTTTCATCATCTCAAGACTTCGCTCCAAGCCAATGTTTGACGGGTCAGATACTATTGAGCTGAGCCAATACTGATCTTTTGGACAGGTGTGTATCACAGTGGAGTGAGCAAAATCACGACAGACTCCAACAGGCATGAAATAGGAACGATAAGACGGATAAATTGATCATTCACTATGCAGAAAGGATGTGTGTCTAATGTATGACAAACCTTCCAGTAGAACTGCGGGCTATTGACACGTATAGAAACTTTCAAGCTGCAATCCTTTTTACTGCCCATGAAGTCATGAATCAAACCACCAGCTTCCAATATCCTGTTGTGCGAAACACAGGTCAAGCCAGAAATAAAAAAGGCATTCTCCTTAAGCCCGTTTGGGTACAAGAAACATATTTTGTAGACTAGATCATAATTTGTAGGTTATTTCATAATGTCTTCCAGATTACTCCTTCGTTCTTTCCTTTACTGCAACTTATGGAAAGCTTTGGGTGAACTTAAAACGACGAGACCTTCAGCGATTCAAGAGTGCATGCCACTTCACAACTCAATTTTCAATTTTATCTTCGGATCCGGAAATTGAAGTTCAACAGAGAGAATTTTCGTCCCTCAGTTGAAAATATCAACGTTGTTAAGACATGAGGTAAGCGAGACAGTCAAACTTACTGAAGCTGCCCAGTGCGTATGAATTTGTGCAAGACGGCCACAACTGCTTGCTGGGCACTATACTCCGTCCAAGAAGGCACCATCTGTTTAACATTCCGAAGCACTTTTGCTTTCTGACCCAGAAGCTGTTTTGCGGCAACTAACCCAGCCTGCATTGATCAATTTACATCCACCCATAGCAGCGTCAAGTAAAGTTACTGAATTCCTGTCAGCCCGGTGTTAACCCGTGCAGAGTTAAGCATAAAATTTCGTACAAATGAAAGTGGCCCGATGTTGCGCTCAGTAAATGCTCAAATTGGCGGTTACCTTGAACCCATCTTCGTGAAATCCATAGCCTGCGAAATGGAAAGCCTCGCCTCAGAACTAGCCATTAAACACTGAGAAGTGAATTTGCTTCATTCAATCTAAAAAAAAGAGGGTGTCATCACATATCGAAATTCAAATACCTCATTTGAAAAGTTTAGACTGAGATAATGCCCTCATAGGCGATAGTTTTTGATGCAGAAGTGAACGGTTAAGAGTTGCCGAAGAGCAGCTCCTTACCTTGATAAGCCCCACAGTACCACACTCCACGATGACCTTGGATAGAACCAAGGCGCTTGGAGGCATCGGCGGCCTCTGGTGATGGAATAGGATGACTCGTTCTCCAGAGACTGACCACTCGTTCAGGTTTCTTGGCCGGATTCAGGGTGACCAGAAAAGGCAAACCTGTGTCTCCCAAGTTCTGCAGGTGTAAAATATTCATCAGCATTTTGTTAGTAATAATTAGATAGCCTGGAGAGAGATAAGGAAGAAAAAAGCCAAGGAAGGTGTAAAGAGAACCAAGGCAGTGGTAAAGGCAGAGGAAAATATCGATCAGTGGAGTTAGATCGAATCTGGACAACAGTGCACTGAGAGCAAGTGGGCAATCATGTCCACACCTGTAGCAAATTCAGCCAGTAAGTCACACAACACCGATTGTTGACATCACCGAGGAAATTCCAAGCAGCCCAGGCAGCCTTGTTGCGGGGCATGAAATTCGCGTCCCGGTGTACGTAAATATCACTGCCATGGTGGATTGGAAAAAGCTCGTTAGTAAGAACGTGTTCAGTGCATTCTCTCCAGGGAAAAATCACCTGGAAAATTCTGATTTTTGCTCGTTAGAGGGGAACAAACGAATCACGATGGCAAACGAGTGGATGCGGAAGAATGCTCTGAGCAAGGAGGGGACCTGTAAGCATATTGAAAGGCTCCCAGAATCTTCTTCTCGTTCGAAGTGGCATATTCGCCCCGCATTTCCAACGCGTCAGGAGCATGTGCAGCCACGATGCATTCGTCAAATATTTCATTTCCACCTCGTTCATCCTCCACGCGCACGCGTCCTGCACGCGAGAAACACCAGCTGAAACTTTCTTTGCCTGCAAATTGCATCGACTTCTCGGAGGCGGGACGCTCGAAACGCGGCAGTGAGTGCAAGATTTTACATGCAGATAGATGAAATCGAACATACCGTCATCGAGAGATTCTATGCGAGTGACGGCGGTAGCGGCCCTGATCTCAGCTCCTCTCTCCTGAAGCTCATCTACAACCTGCAGATCAAAAGTCAATTCGTATCCTCGACTACACTGTGCACTCCTCGGCCACACCGGCATTCAAGAAGCAGGCAGCAGCCTCGGGGCCACATTTTCGCAACAGAATAGCTGAGATGAGGCCAAGTGCGAGCGAAAGTCATGGGGGCAAGTCATGGGTTCACCTTGCTCACATAGGTTTCGGACCGGCCTTTCACCGTGATCCACTGCGGCCGCCCGAAGAACTGCACGCAGCAAAATCTTCAGACAATCAATTTCCACACGTGGCTCGGAACGGGGCCTCCTCCGTATATGAACTATTGACCCGTCCTCGTCGAATGACCGTCATGGCCGTCCGAGCTCTCCGACCCCGGCAGCACACGCTAGACACACAAAAAACTGGGTAGCGAAAACAGGAACACAAGCATTGCGGGATTGAAGAACAATTGGAATCTGGTCCGGCACTGGACCTGTAACAAGTGGTGGTTTCGGCAGAAAGTGAGAATCGAGACGGCCGAAAAGCCCAGGACTGTGAGTGACGAGCAGGACCAAATCGATGCGCACACCGGAATCTGCAAGAATCACAACCCGAAGAGTAAGTAAATGAGTGAATAAGTGCATTGGAGATGGAGATGGAAATGAGCAGCTACATTTTAATTGTTCGAGACTCTCAGGCACGCGGGGGAGAGGGAGAAGCAAGAGCGTACCAGGTAGCATTCCTTGAACTTCTGCGAGTATCCGTGCGAGGTGAGAAAGTCGGCGAGAGTCGTAGCCTCGTCGATGCCCGGGTCGCCGCTCTCGATTCTCGCTAGAAATCTGCAAGCAGAGCAGGCGGGAGCCAGCCAGCCAGCCACCAGACAAGCCAAATCGGAGGTGGATCAATCAACCGCTCACTCGCTCGCTCACAAGGCAGAGGCCCTGGCCTCAATCTCAATCTCTCTCTCTCTCTCTCTCTCTCTCTCTACATTACGGGCGGGCAATGGAAGTCTGGCCAAGATTCTGCTCTTACGCGAGAACGTCGGCCTTGAATTTGAGCATCTCGCGGATCATGTTCCAGAAGAACGGGTTCACGGCATTCGATCGCTGCGCGAACAGGCCCGCGACGCTCGTGCTGCCCCACTCGCAGCCCTTGCCGCCGTCCAGGCTCACCGCGAACGACATGTCCGACTTCTCCATCTCCACCCCGATTTCATCGAAGAACGCCACCATGTTCGGGTACGTCACCTGCTCCATAATCCATCCAGTCAGCGTCCACATCATTAGACATTAGCGCCCGCGCGCCTGCCTGGCACTGCCACGAGATGCATCCCGGGCCGATTCGGGCAGCAGCAGCAGGAACAACGCCACCTGACCCAACCCGACCACGAGGTGACCCGAGGCGAGGTTCAGGGTTTAGGAACGAATTGTCGCGGGCCAGGGGCAAAAACACGACGGCGACAACGCGGAGACATCGATCCGCATGGCGTCACGGCCAACGGCCGACCGACGCGCGACACACCGCCGTCATGTACTACGTCAGTCGAGAGACAGCGGCGGCCTCTCGAGATCTTCAGCTCGCTCGCTCTCGCTACTCTCGTGGTGGGCTCGAGGTCTCGGGCTCGGGCAAGATCGTTTCGGACGTGCTCAGACTCGATTGCTCTCGATCTATGGCGCTATTGTTCTGTCGGGCGTGGAGGGAGGGGAAGGGAGAGCGAATGGAGATGGGAGGTACCTGGTTGAAGACCATGAATCCAATGTCGAGGGCGACGCCATCCACGTGCAGAGTGTTGGCGTGGCCGCCAATGTGGCTGTCTTTCTCGTAGAGGACGACGTTGGCACCTGACTGAGCTAGAGTCCGAGCAGCAGTCAGGCCTGCCACTCCGGACCCGACCACTGCAACTCTCATTTTACCAGCTCTTGCTGATCCCATGCACCTGTCTCGGATCTGGTGAGAGCTAGTTTCTCCTCGTAACTTGCTCTATTAAAGAAACGAGATTAGCGATGTGTTACGTGTAGGTAGCTCGCATAGTTTACACATAGAATACACTTTGGTTATATAACATGAACATAATTGCAGAAAAGATATCTCCGAAGGTGGACGTACAGAACTGTAAGCTGGACGTGATGAAATGTTTGCTCCTGCTAGCTCGCCGCATACAGATGTGATGCAGAAATCAGAATTAGTGATGTGTTTATATAGCTGATCTGGAACGACTAGGTCCTCGTATTTTCGGACCAGGATAAGGTCTGAACTGAAATGCATGCAAGCCTTGTGTTGATTCAGGTCAATGCTGCAGGTACGTCCAGAATCGGCCTGTGCTTTTATTAGCAGTAAAATAAAAACCTCGGTTAGATCACGGCATCCTTGTCAATGTGTACATGTACAGCAAAAGGCCACAATTCAGGTCAAAGTCACATCTCTGCGAATTTTTCTTGTTATCTGCTTGTCGCACGATGACCTCTTGCTTCAAAGCTCGAGGCTGGATCTTAAATATCCTGGATATGAAATCAGATGCTCCTGCTTGGTTCAAATCGAGGTTCGTCATGACAACAGTGGAAGCATCGAAAGTAGCGCCCTTCTTCTTGAACAAGTTCACTTTCTCTCCAAAGACCAGTTTCCCGAATTGCGACTATGGCAATCACGATGGTAACATACATAGCAAGTCGGCTGGAGTGAGAGAGGGTGTTTTTCAACCTTAATTGTGGAACAAGTTACGACCGAAGTGAAGACCGGTAATAATGGAGAATAATGCAGAGTCCAAAGATACGCAATAATGACATAAGAAAAATACTCAATTGGAATATCTTTGAAAAGTCTCCTACAGAATGACTCTTAAAACTTTAATTTATAGATCGCACAGTCTACTGCATTGACCAAAATATTCGCCGTAATGCTCTCAATAACTTTGTTAGTAAGATTTGTATTAATACATCAGCTACAGGCACCTGGATACTGAAATCGTCAAATGCAAGTCAACTAATGTCTCAGATCGAGAATTTGACCGATGTAGAGAAGTTGAGTTGGTTCAGAGCCAACGGTGCAAGTTTTGACAATACTGCAGTTCCCGAGAACGTGCTCTTGAACTGAAACTGAGTTCTCGAGCGGCGTGGAACTGAATTTGGGTGGAGCTGTTTGCACGAGAAAATGTCTGGTGCAAGTAGAATTCCTGGCTGCCATACACCTGTTGAACCTATCTTTAGTGGCTTTACAATTGCCGCGCTATGTCGTGTCTGATATTGGAATCAGACTCCAGTTTCGTTTGACTTTATCAAATAGAGGTCGCATCTTGGTTTTCGCAACCCACTCAGCCTTCAGTGCCACGACGCTATCGGGAGATAAAGGAAATGCTTTTCTGCTTGCAGAGCCCGTGTAATATTGAGCGGTGTCAATAATTAAGTGAATTGGTATTCAAGCGTGGAGAAATAAATGCTGAACTTTCAATTTCCAAAATTACTTTTGCAGGCAACTTCTGCCGCTACATGTATGGCTGTTTGATGCTATTGACTACATCCACAAAAGCGAAGTCTCCACGTAATATATTGTAACGTCTTTCCTCACAATGATTACTTCGGATGATTACAAGCGCATCTGCACAGCGCTTACCGCTACATTTGAGATCACAGATATACAGGAACAAGAATAGCCAAGAAAGGACAGCCTATGGTCAGCTCTCAGAGGAGCAAAGAATTATTCACTGTTCTCATTATGGACATAGAATTCTGTGTTTGTAATTCAGCATTGAGAAATCTTAGAGTCACTAGATGCTACTTTCAATCTCATTTCCTCGTTTTCGTCTTCTCCTAGCCGCTGGTTAGCTGGGACTCAAGGACACAGTCCTGACAGACTGTTCAAGGTGATGCTTCTAGAGTCTACCTAGTGCTTCATAATTCTATTTAAACTCCTATTATGATTGCAAGATCAAAACAGTTCCGTCACATCGCTATACAATTTCTAAACAGTTGTTGAATAACATTGGCTCATTGGCCCAAACCAGGAGGCCAACGACAGTAGGGTACAAACAGATAGGCTAAATGGTTGCTGACTATTTAAAAACTATTTCAACAAAAGGTCTTTCCATTTAAAGCAATTCCTGCTGCGCCATGTACATAACTACTCAATTGCATACGCAGGTAGCAACTTCACAACGTAAAATTTGAACAGATTTTGACAATAATTCTGTAACAAGAATTTTTAACTTTGTTACCGTAGAGCAACGTACCTCAGTAGAATCCTGATTTGAACCCTCTACATCTGACTTCAATGACTTGCCCTCTTTAGTTGATATTCGGGTGTAATTTAATTTACCAGTTGGATTACTGAGATGCTCTAATAAAGATATCCATCAGTTGATCATGCTCTGTTTTTTAATCTCCGGCCATCTAGTCTTCACATTCATAGGCTGGCTTGAGGCCATCACTGATCCAAGGAGTTGTCGCTGGACTCTAACCTTTCACAGAACTGAGATTTTAACGTCATCATCGTAGCGAGTGTACCTCCGTATTCCGCATTCAGCTCCGTATTCAATTACTTTGAGCCATCAGATCAACTTCCCTTCATGTTGTTGAAACTGTGCTTGGTACATCAACTTCACCCTAAACTTTATCTTAACCCCTAAACTTGTGCAATTGTACATTCTCACACCCACTTAGTACATGAAATTTTTTGCTCTTCTGTTGTACTGTCACCAATCAGCATCCACATCTTCACATTCAGACTTCTCATTTTCTCTGGGCGTGAGTCAGCGTCTCATCGATTTGCGGCTATCCAACAGGTGCATACATTTCTTCACACCCAGCTTCCACAAATGCACGTTCAACTCCGAACTTATTATTTCTGCAGATTCATACCACGTCATATTATACGGACGTCGCATAATATGAGCTTGACCTGCACGAGCTATCTTCGATGTGACGCATCGGGAATCTATTTTCTTCATTATTCCGCTGATCACCCGCAATTGGATCATTGCAGTGGACTGTGCAAACTGTAATTTAAAGTATTAAGAGTCATTCTGTAGAAGACATTCGGTTTATAATCTGTTTTTGTTGAAGAGCTCGAAAAACAGTATCATAACTAGAAAAATAAGGTATTTGAGAAAATTTTTTTTTACTATCATATTTTTTTGATGGATTATATTTATTTCCATAAATACCTTGATTATTTTCAATTGTTAAAATATAAAGTCCAAGAAGCATATCCTGACTTGGCACAGAAATAGGTTCTCCTGTAGCTGGAGATAATAAATTTTTATGAGAAAGCATAAGTAAACGAGCTTCTGCTTGAGCTTCTAATGATAAAGGTATATGAAGTTTTATTAGGATAGATAGATTAAAAAATCTATCTATCCTAATAAAACTTTTCTTTTCATGTTTTTTTCGAGATCATTGATTTTGTACACTAAGAACCGAATATTTTCCATTTCGGTTGTTTAATTTTTTAAGATATTCCAATTGAGCGTTTTTCTTATGTAACTATTGCGTATCTTTGTGTGGTAACACACTTTTTGTTTTTTTTGCAGAATTTAAACAATTTTAGAAAACTAGTACCGAAGCAGTGTTTGTAGTTAGAAAAGTGTACGTTAAATAGAGTGGATTGATGAGATCGTCACGAGGACACGAAGACTCACGTAGTCGGATGTACCAACGCCAATGTCTTCGGCGCCTTCGGCAAAAGCTCCTTTTCGGAGTTGTCTCTACTCACGCGCCTCCAGCGTATAAGGAAGCTACGCTTCCGGCGCAGACACCTCAGGAGGAGGTTTTACTAAAGACGTCAGGAGAAGGGCCCGGACCTCTGAAGGCGTCCGACCATGAGTGCGCCTTCGGCGATGCGCCGCTAGCGCGGAAAGTGAAAACCTTCATAACGATCGGGATACACGGTAGATCCAGTTGGTTGAAGTCGCATTAGAAAGAGCTCGGGACGCTCGTTCTAACGAGCCCAAGAGCGTCGGAGATGGATTAGAGACGGAGAAGTTATGAGCGTTGGAAAACTCGTAGCCGGACATGCGCCGTTCGCGCTAGGGTTCACAGCCGGAAAGGATTCCCGTACGCCCTCGGCGATGCGCCTTCGGCGGAATCACGCGCTCATAGGAGGAAACCAACTCAGAGTCAGAAGCGCCTTTGGCGGCTGTTCATGAAAGGAAAGCGCCGGTCGGATGTACGCCTCCGACGTGGCGTTGACGGCCGGATGCGCCGGCATGAGTTGCGCTGGCGGATATGCGCCGGCAGCAATGGACGAGGCATAAAGGACAAAATAAGCGGTACGACTGCGCGCCGGCGTAATTCGCTCCGACTAGATGTGCGCCTCCAGCAAGGCGCCGACGGATAAGGAACGCACCAGCGGCGACACGCCTCCGGGGAGGGACGGGTTAGGAAAAGACAACATGGCCGACATATACCCTGCGGCGGACTCGAGTCCGGAAGGTGGCGGCGGCGGGAGAATTCAACATTTACGCATGCGAATGCGCGCAGTGCGGAGACGTGAATTCGCGCATGCAAAGGGCGAACCGTTAGGCCGTATAGCCGGCTGCGTACGTTGTAACCAGTAAGAACGTTGGACGTTCTTGAAATCGGAGAAGAAAAGACTGCGCTCCAGTCTCATTCTCTCATTCTTGATTTTGCGATTTCCAGTTTCCAAGATTACGCGCAAGAGCGGAGCGACCTGCAGTGAGAGGAGAGAGTGCGGAGACGAGTTGCGCAAGGATCTTGACAGACCTTGGAGAGAAGTGCGAGTAGCGATCGTGAGCGTGAGCGCAGAGAGAGTGAGCAGTCAGTGCTTGAGCGGCCGACGCGCAGTGGCGATTGTGAGAGAGCGAGCGAAAGGGAGAACGTTTGTGTGTGCAGGCAACGCAATGTCGAAGGTTCCCCAGCTGCGAGTGTCTCCACTCAGGGTGCCGCAGATCGGTCTACGCGCATTTCAAGATGTGCTGCTGAGGCTGAAGCTCGATTTTCTCCTGTGGGGGTGGAACTGGACATGTCCGGAGATGGT